TAAGACCTTGCTCAATACCCTTGCAAGGGTCTTTCCCTGTTTTAGTGAGGAAGGTCACAAATAGCGGGTCAAATTCTGGCGTGAGAGCCACTTTACTTGGTATAGTTGGCCGAGGGCATTCGGCTCTGAGTTTAGCCCTTATTTCTTTTTCAAGGGGCTTACGCAGCCACATCTTGCAAAAATTAGAGATGTGGTCAGGTGGGGCCCATTCGGCCGAACGTGGATGTCTAATGACCCTATGGTCGAAAAAAGGGACACCCGAAGCATCCAGAAGGGTGTCTGAGTCGGGTCCCTTGGGCATAGAGATGTTTGCATCTGTGTCCTTTTGGTAATGAATGTCTCCTTGACAAATTCCGATGGGGTATCCCCTAGCGCATTCGCCGAGGGGTCCTCATTAGAATAGCCAAGGTAGTAATCTTCAACCCCATCGCCCATTTGAGAAGTGGAACCCTCCAAGGGGTCGAATATAGTTTGGGCGGGGCGAGTGACAGTTAATTTTTGGGACTTGGTAGGAGCCTTGCCCTTGCCCGCAGACACACTATTCCCTTTCCAAGGACGTGTGACCTCCTGATCCAAGGGCTGAGAGTCCTCTGAGTCAGAGAGTAAATGTGCGGTGGGATTGACTTCGCCAGGAGTCTTTTCATGGAAGGCTGCTAACGCCTTGGGGATGGATTCAGAAATGGTTGAAACCAGCAAAGCTTTAAGTTCCTGAGAGATTGCGGGCTCAGTATTGTCAGACATTTTAGTTAGCACTGTATTAGTGATTCTGACAAATAGTCGTAAGACAAGAATGTTAAATGGGGTTCACCCAATTGTGCTTAATAAAATTTCTAAGTAGGGGTCACCCAAATAAGCGTAGTTTGATATATAAGGGCGGCACACAATATATAGTGGGATAGACCACTAAATTATATAAGTGGATTGTACCACTGTAACAATAAGAACTGGGGTTCACCACTCAGTAGTCAGACTTTTAAGAGTATGTCTGTAAAATATTTAATAAAGTGTGGGGTCACTTTAAATAATATATTATATTATTTGCAAAGGTGAGGGTCACTCACTTGTAGTAATGGTGTTGAGACACCTGTCATAAATTGATTAGAAAGTGAATAAGGTGGGGGTCACCCACAACAACATTCAATGAATCAAGTGACAAAGAAAAATGTGGGGGTCACCCACAAGGCTGTCCTTTATTTAATAATGATAAGATACAGCAGGTATTTTCCTGTCAAAAAAAAAAAAAGGTACAAAGAATAATTTGGAAAAAGGTGGTAGCCCTTTAAGGCTGCTATGAGCAACAAGTAAATAAGATACTTACCGGATCCAACGTGAGGTGAAGCGATCACACATAAATAACAAGGTAAACCACGGTTTAAGATGGCCGCCGCCAGCAAAAGGGCGGGAGGAAGCGAGTCAGGTAATTGCAGGCGCGAGAAGGCAGGATCTGAGAAAGGGCGCAAAATTGAGCCACGGACTCCTGGGAATTGGGAATCAGAATCGAGAGGAAACCGCGGCCACAAATGTAATAAAATCGCGGAGGCAAACCCCGACGATTTTTAAAGGGGAACAATGGAGATAAAGTTTAAAAACTGTTCAGAGACGTAAATAAACCAACATGTTAGGTATAATTATATGTAGTAAGGGTATTGTGTACTGACAATAAATTGTGTGAGAAACTAGTGAAAATGAATGTTTGATAAACAAAACATTACCACAGAAAAGTATTTAAAAATGATAATAGAGATATGGGTGCTATAAAATTTAACAAATTAATGAGAAAATTAGTTGAAATATTGCATTAAAGGCAAAAACCATAAGGCAATATAATTGGAGCCGGCTCACCTGGGAGGCAAGCAGCAAAGAAAGAGGACTTGGGAGGAGTTTGATGACATCATATAATACTGTTATACACTCGGATTGGTTGAATTGTTTTTACACTATTGTTAACTATTTCTTTGCTGCTGGGAGGTTCAAATATGAAGCCTCCTGTCTTGCCATAAAATTGTATGTTCTTATGCACGTTGAATTTTACACTATTTTTATTCAGCCATTTGTTTTCTAACCTTTATGCCACGGGAAAGTAGCATTCTTGAGGTCTGTTAGTAAACGGATGGTATAAGTAGATGGCTCCTTTGTCTCCCATATGGTGTGCTTTTAAGTGATATATAACACCACAGCACTACCACATACGCAAAGGGAACTGGCAATGCAGTCCACTCCAATGCAGCTCTGCAATGCAGCACAGCTGGGAGATATCTACCTGATGGTGGCCCTGTATTTACCTGTGTGTCGTTATCACCGTACTCCGGCTGAGTACATCAGACAGGTGTGATTCATCATTGCTACCAGTGACCCTGGAGCGCTTCAGACCTTTGGGGACTAGTCCTGAAGCACGTGGTGACAAACATTTAAAATACAAGTATATAGAACACTGGAGAACAAGCATGAACTATATAATGCAAGTAACATTTTTAAACATACTAAAATTATTTTGTTTCCCTCATTTGACTACCAGTATTATGCAATTGTACAAACTTCTAGACAGTCAGCAGAGGGCGCTCCATAGTTATCAAAGTAACACTGTATATTTGTACATTGATTGCTGCTCACACATCTCTTTCAGGGCTCCTGGGACCAGGCACATATTCTGTGGGCAAGAGGTTGGCCTTCAAGCCTCTCCAAAAGGCCCTGGCATGGGAGCTTTTGTCACCACCTGCCCCAGCCACAGGGGGACTTCCAGGGACCTGATGGTAAATTGCCATGAAAGTCTGGGTGCCATCTAGTTTGGGGAGGGAGGGGCTTGTTACATTAATCACTTAAAGTCGCATTCACATTCTTCGGTCATTCCATAGAACATACAATACTACTTAACGTGGAACTCTTGGCATGAACACAGTAGGCACTATAACTGCTTCATCTCATAAAATAAAAGATCAAATTAAAAAGTCCCGTAGCACCACCCCTCCATTTAACCTTACACCGTTTTTAATGCTAAGAGTCCCCAAAGACTAACGTGTCTGTGCTGCTTACGTTAATGAATTTGTTATGGTGCCAGGAGGCGCCCGAAATAAATCATACCTTAAGCTGTTAAACCATTCCTGAACGGTTTAACTCCAAAGTTGCCTCCAGCGCCAATCTCAAATCCATTAGGCTTCTGAAATTTTAATTTTGCATAGGGGTGCAGCTGATTAGCTGAGAGTGGTTAGCTGATGCTCTCAGCCAATCAGCAACCGCAATTCACAAATCTGGCTTGCAAAAAGTATGTTTCTTTTCAAGCCACTTTTGTGAATGGGGAATCACTGATTTGCGAAGAGCGTCAACTGACCATTGTCAGCCAACCAGCCGCAGCCATGCCCGGCAGCACTTCTTGCTTCTTGAAACTGAAATTTTCATTTTTCAATGTGGGTAGTTGAGATTGGCAGTGGAGGCAACTCTGGGGTTAAACTTTAGGAGTACTGTTCAGGGGCTTTCTAGCACCATAACAACCTGATTGAGATTAAGTTTTTTGGTGCTTGTAGTTCCCCTTTAACTTCATGAATTTGAATCTCCTGCTCTGTAAATTAAACTTTAATCACACACAGGAGGCTCCTGCAGGGTCGAGCAGAGTATTCTACATTAAAGGGAAACTCAGTTTTCCTGGCACTGCAGGTCCCCTCTCCCTCCCACCCCCTAATCCCCGGTTGCTGAAGGAGTGAAAACCCCTTCAGTAACTTACCTGAGGCAGCGACAATGTCCCACGTCGCTGCTTCTCCCTCCGTGCCGCTCCTCCTTCTGACTGTGTCGGCCGGTGGGTGAGACTGATCCCGCCCACCGGCCGGGGAGACCTAATGCGCATGCGCGGCAATGCCACGCATATGCATTAGCGCTCCCCATAGGAAAGCATTGAAAATGCTTTCCGATGGGGAAATGAGCGACGCTGGAGGTCCTCACACAGCATGAGGACGTCCAGCGACGCTCTAGCATAGGTTTCCTGTGCTAGGAACCAGGACAGCCACTAGAGGTGGAGTTAACCCTGCAAGGTAATTATTGCAGTTTATAAAAAACTGCAATAATTACACTTGCAGGGTTAAGAGTAGTGGGAGTTGGCACCCAGACCACTCCAATGGGCAGAAGTGGTCTGGGTGCCTGGAGTGTCCCTTTAAAGAGAAGTATAAGCATTAGATCTTCCTTTACAGGAGGTGTTTAGGAAGGCTATGTTAGTCACATGTAATGAGGTGTAACTAGGGCTGCATAGAAGACGTTATTTAATTCCTAAATGGCAAATTATTAAGCAGTCTGCAGTGGCATGTTCTATACAACAAAACTACTTAATTGAACTTGGAATCTACTGATAACGCCCAAGCTACATATTTATAAGCAATTATCTCTCTGGAGGCTCTCTCTCCATTAGACTTATTAGCTAGCATGACAGAGTGACATTTACAACCTTAAATGTAGGATAACAATTTTTACTAGAGGCTGGTATTAGTGACCAGAATCGCACATAAATTGGTCTATTGGCAGACTTCCACCTGTAAACACACTTGTAATGCCTTATACTTACCTAGAAATTGAGTATTTAGGCAAATATCCATTAAAAAAAAAAAAAAAATAGATTGTTTTTTCCATATCTAGAAACATCCAGTGGGCATGCCTCACAGATTTACACACGTGCAGCTGGAAGAGCTCTTCACCTTACAACCTCTTATTTGAGAAGATAGTGAGTCTGAGGAGTTCGACTGAAGAGCAAGCTCCAGTGTTTTCTCTCCTGCTGTACAATGAGGCCCTGTTTCAGTCATTGGTGAACTAGTATGAAGCCGATTTTGGTAGGAAAGTAAATGGGGTGTAGCTGTAGCTGAAGAAATGTGAAAGGCATGCCCTAAAATGTAATCTCACCAAGTTTAGATACATTACATACTTTTCAAAGTTTTTCTATTATTTTGGTTTTTCTATGTAAAAGTGCTTGGCGTAAAAAAAAGTCAACTAATGTGTGTACCTTTAATGATTTTCCTTCCATCCACTTGTATTTATAATTTACTGTCTTTATTTCCATTTGTGTCCAATCCCAATATCCTGAAGGAGCAATTTGTTTTTATTTTATCAGTAGTGTCATCTCCACTTTTGAAGCATTTTTTTCGATTTCGAGTAAATATCTTAACAAATATAAAACTTTGCTTTATAGGGACACTTAAACCAAACGTTTTAACATTTGATTTCTTTTTTTTTTTTTCTCACGCCATATATTATTCTGGCCAAACATGGTAGCATCACTTATAAGTCAGCTCATCCCCAGCTGTACAGACAGGTATAATTAATAAAACAGTTAAGAATAGTCAATATAAGATCCCTAGAACTGCCCAGTCTGTATTTCCTGTCCCAGCTGACAAGCAAGATTTTTTTTGTGGATCCCACATGAAATAATTTTCTTTTCTGGGATCATTAGCATGTTTAACATGGTTCTATCAGGGGGATTTAAGACTCTCTCCCCCTTGGAGTAACCAGTAAGCAGGCTGTTTTGGCAGCACTAACTGGTTTGAGCACACACACTATGGAAAGATGCCACAAGACAAAACTAGTCTTCTCTTCCTAAGGAGTGTGGGAAGCCATCGACTTACCTTTGGTTTGGAATAGGCGACCAGTTTCAGCCTTTGGAATTGTGCATATATTTGCTGACTATTAAAGCACTCTTCCTTATCGCCATAACATCAGCCAGGAGAGTGTCTGAGCTAAAAGGCATGAAGTTCAGTGGTACAATACACTGTCTTACCAGGATCGAGTGGTTCTTATTCCCAGGCCTGGATTTCTCCCAAAAGTGGTTTCTAGGTTGCACATTCAACAGGAGAGTGTTTACATCTCCCCCTCACCCCCAATCCATCTGAAGAAGAAACTCACTGGAGTAAATTAGATGTAGTAAGGTGCCTCAGAACAAACTACAGATGTCTATACATTTCAGAAAATCTAACTATTCATCCTTCCATTAGGAACCAGGAGAGGCAAAGCAGCATCCATAACACTTAGAAGATTGCCAATTACTAAAGCTTAGGCTTCCCAGGGTCTCCAAGCATCTCCATGGGCTTCTAGATAAGTTACGGGTAGAGGCCATTTCCAAAAACGGCTACTTGGTCCTCTCATCATACATTTGATAGACACTACAAACTGAATTTGTCATCCTCTAATCTCGTTTGCATTAGAGATTTCTCGCTTCAGTGGCACTTGGAACCTAAAACTTTGTTGAGCATTAATGAGGTCTACGGTCTAATTTATTTATCCCACCCTTCATGTGAGCTTGGGTAATACCCATAAGTGATGCTGCGATGTTTGGCCAGGAAAGTAGAAAGTCTCCATACTTACCATAGTTTTCTTTCCATGGCTATTCTACATTGCAGCATCACTCAATTCTGTCAGATTTCTTCAGCTACTGCTTCTTAACAAGGCTGAGGAGTTTAGGGGGAGGGGCTTATATTGACTAGTCTTAACAGTTTAAGGATTCTGTCCTGAGAGCTGGCAAGGAGCTAATACAAATGATGCTGCCATGTAGATGGGCAGTAAAAGAAAATACATACAAGTATTGAAACAATTTTCTCCCATTCAAATCTGGTTTTGCTATAAAACCTTTAACATTTCCACAGTAACCTTGCCATGATCTATTTACAAAAAAATAGAGTGACCCGACTTGCCAATGTGACCCCACACCCAATCACAGTCCTCTTATTTGCCCCTTTTTCATGTCAGCAGAATTTTTGAAATGCCAATCAAATTACAGTTATTGGCTCTAGGGCAGAGTCAAGTTAGCAGCTTAACACCTTGATCTCCCCCATTGGCTGAACTACAGTTTACTTTCCAACAAAGATATTTTATGAAAGGGATAGTGTTTTGCTGCAGAAATAAAACTGAAGTATTTGAGTGGGGGGAGAGAAAAAAAAAAAAAAAAAACACAAATAGATTTGAGACCATGACTGAAATGCACTTAAGTTGCATGGTACCCCATAACAAATACTGCATCTTCTAGGACTATAGATAATCAGTGGCGAATATAGTTAAAAGACTTCGAATATATAAAAAAAGTTTAAAGTACACCAAGTACCATAATTTAGTTATTTTGGTGCACATCCTGTCCCTGCAAGCCTTAAATTGTACAAACTGGCATTTCTGCAAAAAAGTTATTTTAGGTGGAGCAGTAAGAATACAACTAGGGGCTGGCAGTCAGTCACAAGTGGTGCTTCTATATAGTCCTGTAATGTTTGCAGGAGTTGCAATATAATGGAGGAGATAAATTAAATGGAATCTATAGTGTTATACAAGTCTGTATTGCCAGCAGTAGAGACCTCTGCTTCCAACATTAACCCAAAACTTAAGGAATAAAAGGGAATGTCATGTGTCCTTAAGGGGTTAAAAATCTTTTGCTCACCCAATTCCAGCGCAGTTGTCCCTTCGTCAGCACTTCTTATAGGAAAAAATTGAATCAGTGCTTTGCTATGGAGTTTACCATCACAGGTGTCCTACTGCAGAGTGCAAGGACATCCAGTGTCAGGTGAGCAAAAAGTGTTAAAATCCTGGAAACACCTCTGACGGTCTTGTAAACAGCCACAGCAAGCAGTCTCTCCAGTACTACAATATTTTACATTGCAGTACCAAGTGGGACAGGGACATTTCACTCAGACCACTTTTAAGTGGTCTGGGTGCTTATAGTGTCCCTATAACATGGTGCAGGGATGGAGGAGTGACTGCTGCAACAATGAATAGGGAGAGTAAATCTTTTACTTATAAACAGGGGCCCCTAAATTGTTTTTTGTCAGAAATGTGTTTGCCAAAAATCGCATTTTCCTTTAATGGCAACTGACTTTAAGGTTTGTATTTCACTATTAACCACTTAAGAGTTGGACTGTAGAGACCACATGGCAAAGATTAAGAACCTCTGTAGATCAACAGGATGAGTTACATTATACACACAGTACAACAATGTTCTCATTAACTTTGTTTAATGGTCTCAAATTTGGTGACAGATTTTGGTCAAGTTGTTTCCATTTAAAAGTTACTGATTTAAAACACTAATAACTTAAAAACTGCCACAAACAAAATGGTCCACAAACATTCCTTTCCTTCTGAAGCTTTTACGATGCATTGTTATCATTAACCAGTCTTTTACTATTAAACTTAAATGGCCAATTGGTACAAACAGTTCAGAGACCAATCTTCCACCACTGGTTAAGACTGAGGTGGTTTGTGATTTGTGCAAGATTCATTTGGTTTTCTGTGCTTTCTGGGCTGATTTTGTGACTTTGCCAGATCCAGCTGCTTTCTTCTCAACGGCCTTGATGACACCAACAGCAACAGTCTGTCTCATGTCACGCACAGCAAAACGACCTTTGGAGGAAAAATTTTTTTTTTTATAGAAAATATATTGAAAACCACAGCACTAAAGTAATTTTCTAGCAATATTGCAATAGTTGCAACAGAATACTGGATATATATATATATATAAAAACCTTTGACACTTTTACAGTATTAAACTTTAGGTAGGTTAACTTACCAAGTGGAGGATAGTCAGAGAAGCTCTCAACGCACATGGGTTTGCCTGGAACCATTTCAACGATGGCTGCATCACCAGACTTGAGGAACTTGGGTAAGTCTTCCAGTTTCTTACCAGAACGACGATCAATCTTTTCCTTCAACTCAGCGAACTTGCAGGCAATGTGGGCTGTGTGACAATCCAACACAGGGGCATATCCAGCACCAATTTGACCTGGGTGGTTAAGGATGATTACCTACAAAGAAAAACAGCTTTAATTACAATATTCAAAGTTAAGGGAAACTATATGCTAGAAATACAAAGTTGTATTCCTATTCTATAGTGCCCCTCGCAGTACAGAAAATGTTAAACTCCATTTATATACTGTTTCAAAGAACATGCAGTGCCTTTAACTGCTGCCATCTCCATTGAAATTAGCTTAATACCAACATGCAGGGACAGCTCAGTCGTACCTGTGCAGTAAATGCACCAGCTTCAAGAGGAGGGTCATTTTTGCTGTCACCAGCAACATTGCCACGACGGATGTCCTTGACGGAGACGTTCTTTACGTTGAAACCAACGTTGTCACCGGGAAAAGCCTCAGTCAGAGCCTCATGATGCATTTCCACAGACTTCACTTCAGTTGTTACATTGACTGGGGCAAAAGTAACCACCATGCCTGGTTTAAGAACTCCAGTTTCCACACGACCAACAGGTACTGTGCCAATACCTGAAACAGATCACAGTTTATGAATGCTCAATGAGGAATGTTATGGCAAATACTATAGTGGCAGAATATATTTCTGCTTATAATCCCCCAATGATTTTATTTTTAAATGCAGATTCAGAAGGTGTGGTCCAATACAACATTTAATATGCCAAAGAAGTTTAACACCAAGCATTTTAATATGTCATTGGGCTTCTGTGCTTGACATTGTTTTGAGATATCATTTTGAAGTTGACATTACTTTGATGGGTTACACAACTTACCACCTATCTTGTACACATCCTGAAGTGGCAGACGGAGGGGTTTGTCTGTGGGACGGCTTGGTGGCAAAATGCTATCAAGAGCTTCAAGCAGAGTAGTTCCACTGCTATTTCCTTCCTTCCTGGAAATCTTCCATCCCTTGAACCAAGGCATCTATGGAGAGAACAGTGTGAGCACAAAAAGGAGTTTAAAAAAAAATAAAAAATTCTTTAAGCATGAAAACTAATTTGCCTCAATACAAGCAAAACTATTTTAATCACAGTACCAAAGGCACTGAAGTTAAATAAAACTTACATTGGAGCTGGGCTCAAGCATATTGTCACCATTCCAGCCAGAAATGGGTACAAAGGCAACAGTGTCTGGGTTGTAACCAATCTTCTTGATGTATGTGCTGACTTCCTTGCAAATTTCCTCGTATCTCTTTTGGCTGTATGGTGGCTCAGTGGAATCCATTTTGTTGACACCAACAATGAGCTGCTTTACACCAAGAGTGTAAGCCAATAGAGCATGCTCACGGGTTTGTCCATTCTTTGAGATACCAGCTTCAAACTCTCCTACACCAGCAGCAACAATCAAGACTGCACAGTCAGCCTTTAAAAATAAGAGAACTAAAGTTACTCTTCGTGTCAGACAGATATAGAAACATATGCATGCAAGGGTAATTGTTTTTCTAATACACAAGTCAGTGATCCAAGTATATTTTAGAAGAAACTAACTTGCCTGAGAGGTACCAGTGATCATGTTTTTGATGAAATCTCTGTGACCAGGAGCATCAATGATGGTAACATAGTATTTGCTGGTCTCGAATTTCCACAGGGAAATGTCAATGGTAATACCACGCTCACGTTCAGCCTTCAGCTTATCCAGAACCCAGGCATACTTGAAGGAACCTTTTCCCATCTGTTGAAATGTATAATGTTAATCACAAAGCTAAAATAAGAGACATTTAAAACCATATAGATTACAATTCTTTAAATAGTGACATAACCAAATGAAGTGTCACGTTGCTCAAACTTTACACTTTCAAAGTCATGTGTACAGTTTACATTTCTAGTCACTACAAACTCAACAGGCAAAAAAAAAAAAAAGACTAACCCCTTAAAGACACATGACATGATTTCCTTTTATTCCCGAAGTTTAGTCCTTAAGGGGTTTAAACATATTGCAAAGGTGACCAAATTTTTTTGGTGAAGTTATGCAAAGGTCTAAAAAGAAAACTTACCTCAGCAGCTTCCTTCTCAAATTTCTCGATGGTTCTCTTATCGATACCACCACATTTGTAGATAAGATGTCCAGTTGTTGTGGATTTTCCAGAATCTACGTGTCCAATGACAACGATGTTGATATGAGTCTTTTCCTTTCCCATTGTGGATTAGTAGATGTTTAACGATGGGACACCTACATAAAAAAAAAAAGGAAATATAAAAATTGAGCCTTTGATGTACATCCGCAACAGGTCCAAGCTTTTAATGATCCTAGTAAGAATGATTTCAACGAAGTTGCACAAGATTTAGGTAAATAAAATGGAAGTCACAAAACATGCTAAATAGGGACAACCCAATTCAAGCAAAAGTAACAGTTAGCCAAGTGCAGGGAGAAATGGCGACCAGCAGCCTCACTCCCCCTGGTGCATGTTGCTGGCTTTGCATGCAATGCTTCTAACTCTTTTGTCTTTTCAGTTGTGACTCATCAGCCTCCATCTTGTGGATGAGGAAAACCTGATCAGATACAAGGAAAGCAGCGGCCATCTTTATAGTGTAAAAAGCGCTGGACATTTAAATTTAAAAAAACAAAACAAAAAAAAACCTTGAGCCAGCTAGCCATTAATGCTCACATTCAAAAACCGTGCTACTTGCAACCAAAGCTCCTCCATATAGTACAATCTATAGGAAAACATATTCCAGAAAAGGGTGTGGACAACCAGAATGCGAAAATAAAATGTAAGAATATAAATACTGTAGCAAGTAAAGGCTAGAAAACAACTCGCATATTGAAGCTTAAACATAATTATTCTCAAGCGCATTACTGGACAGTTCTACAAGTGAGATACCAGCAGGAAAATCCAACAATTTTGGGTTTTTTTCCTACACCAAACCAACTGACAAACTGAAATAGAATCAATGCTATGACAAGGGATTAGATTACATTCCACTACCGAATGTGAGCTCACTGTATCAGCTTAGTTTTCACACGAAGCATACCCTCGCCCAGTACTCCACATTCACTGAGAACACACTGTGATCTATACAGATTAATAATGCTACCAGCACTCACACAGCCACATCGGCTCCATTGCCGGCATGAAATCCCATATCTCCCACTCGCAGCTGGCCCCGCTCCTCCTGAAGCCGGCTAGGCTGTCGGGGTGAGCGGATGGTTTACGATGGGTCAGATACAGAGCGGATTGACAGTAGGCCGCAGCCTCCCCGCTCCCGGGCCGGATGGCGCTCCCCGGCCGGCAGGCTGGCCGCACTCTAGAATCCATTGTCCAGAGATGCAGGATAAGGAGCCATGAGCAATCCGGACAACCCGGGTGCGGGTCCCATCTCCGGTATAGCCGGGGTGTGCGAGGCCTTCCCGGCATGCCCTTCGCGATATCATGCTTACCTTGGAAATCGGTTGCAGACCCGGTGAGGAAGAGGGCGAGCGACGTGCCGCCCTGCCTTATATACCAGCCGGGGGGCGGGGCCGCCGTGACGTCAGCAGCCCAGAATTCTCAGGGTGTCAGGGGTGTGGCCGTGAGATTGCCGGGAGCGGGCTGGGTGCATGGTGGCAATGGCCGCGCTGGTCACGGTCACGGCTGTCACACAATGCGAGCCCTGCCCGGGTCTATACAGTGACCTTCATTCATCGCACACTGTGTGTCCCCCGCCATGGCGGACAGGACACCCAGCGCGGTACTCGGTGTATCACACGGGGGGGGGTGTTGGAGATGGAGGCTGTGATTATTACACTGATCGGCCCTGGCTCCATCATGGCTGCCGGGCTCGGGCGGCCTGCTGATGACGTCACCTGCCTGCCGAGGCGGGGAGCCCTTCCTGCAGCCACGCTGGTGCCTCCCCTCCCCCACCGGTACGTGACTGGGGCGCTCCATGTGCCGCCTCCTGCACCCGGCTTGCCCTAGGAGGGGGTGAGACCGGGCAGCGGACTGTGTTACCGCCATACATGGGAAGCGGGATGGAAGGGGTTAATGTGTATTACACACGGATTGCAGTAGGGCAGGGGATAATCCATGTCCCCAATGTAGATTGCAGCAATATCTAATTATAACCAGTGTGTATAAATGCAGACTCTACCAGAAATATATAATGTATGTATGTATATATATGTATATATGAGAAAAGTTGGTAAAGGGGTTTACTCACTAAATGTAGGATTGCAGCGCATTAAATTCCAAGTGACACAACTGAGGTACAATATAATCGATTTGCAAAACGTATTAAGAATTTTAATATATATATATATACACACACACACACATACATACATACATACATACAGGGCAGAGGTTGGTTCATTTATTTATTTTTTTACAAAAGATACCAAGTCATTTTAAATGTGTTGAGCAAGTGTCATTACTTGTAACCCCATTATTTGTCCCCAATGTTTTCTACTGAGTTTGAGTGGCATTTCCAACTTCCCATAATGCATGTTTACAAGCCCATACCATTCTCTTGCCAGAAGTGTCAGCTTAGCACCGGACATAATAAGTAACTAAAGACAGCAGTATCTTGGCTGCTGCCTTACCAGCTAGTCAAAGTGGTATGACTTGCTTAAAATGAACGCTGCCAAGCAATGCTGTAAAATGATATGCATCCCTTTACAGCATCTCAGCATGTTCCAGGGCAGAGCTATACTCTTTATGGAGCTCAATGAAGTGGTCTGGGTGCCAGGTCCCTCAGGTTTTAACCCTTTACATGTAAACATAACAGTTTCAGAGAAACTGCTATGTTTACATTTGGGGTTAATCCAGCCTCTCCTCCGTCACGCAGAGCGTCCATAGGAAAGCATTGAGAAATGCTTTCCTATGGACACTTTGAATGCGCGCGCGCGGCACTGGCCGTGCATGCACATTCGGCTCCAGTGACGTCGGACGGGGAGGAGAGGGAGCCCGGCATTGGATTAAGGTAAGTGGCTGAAGGGGTTTTAACCCCTTTACTGCTGAGGGTGGGGGCACCCTCAGGGCACTATAGTGTCAGGAAAACTGCTTAGTTTTCCTGACACTATAGTGATCATTTAACAAATTCAGCAATAGGATAAATCTTAGATCTATCCTATGGCAATATGTGTGCCAAATGCAGGGCAATTAAAAGATGCCTATACTGGTATCAATAACGTTAGACAATTTCACCTGTTCTCAGTTACATTTTAAAGGGACACTATAGTCACCAGAACTACCACCAGTCTGCGGCCCTCAGATGTTACTGAACTACAACTCACATAATTCCCTGGCTATCTGTTTCATTGAAAGAATTATGGAAGTTGTAGATCAGCAACAACTCGGGGGACTGCAGGTTGGACGGGCCTGCACTACAACTTTATGTAGTGGTCCATATGTCTATAGCATGTCTCTGCAGCCTTAGTTCTGAAAAGGCAGTGTTTTACATTGCTGACTAGTTACACCTCTAGTGAGCGTCACTCAGATGGCCACAAGAGGTACTTTCTGTATCAGTGCTGGCATCACTGGCGTTCACCGCCTCCACACTCTGCATGAAGGCTGAGAATGTTACTCATAGATATATATTAATTCAACGCATCTCTATGAGTAGGTGCTGGTTGGTGTGTTTTTTTGCCATGCATGCAAAATAGCAAAAATTGGATTGGCTGAGATCATCAAAATGGATGATCTCAGCTACAGAGGTGGAGATGTCCATGTCAAGACCTGCACAGTGTGGGAGAAAAGGTGATTAATATCACCTTTAATCCACCGAGATACCTAATGCTGCATTCCAGCACTACAGTGTTCCTTTGATTTTCAGAGTCAGTGCCAATACTGTTATCAAAGGACTAAATGAATTACTACAGAAAAAAAAAAGAAAATCATGTTTTTCAATAAAGTGACTGTAACAAATCTCTTAGAAACACACATATAAAAATGCTAAAATATTTTTTATGGGCAGTTAAATATGGCAGAAAAAAAAACTTTCCACTACTTTTATTTACTAAAGTGAGATTTGTAAGGAATACAAAGTGGATGTAAAATGTTATGTCAAAATAGCCCAACTTAAAAATGATCCAAGTCAGCTATGCTTCCAGTTCAGCCTTGTATTTGAAGTTCACTCTGTATTCCCAAACTATACTCTAAATTGGTTGTAGGAGCAAATTTATCTTAATTCTGACTTAAAGGTAAGCATGCAGAAGTGGTATTGGTTATATGTGGTAGTTCTCTTGACCATTTACACCCAGTGGACCATTTAGTATGTTTCCTTGGTAGAGTTTGAATTTTTGAAATGTATTCCCGCACAGTTGTCTAAAACTAGAATTTTAGCAAATAGCATATACCAGAAAGCAAATGTTTAGCATTAGGTATATAGTTCTTTGGCTTTTCTCTAAAACCAAACACAACCTTTTGCCTGTGTCTCTAATCTACAATTGTGGGTTTGAGGTGAACATTGACATAGATAAGACGATTAAAAAGGTTGTTTAAAATGTAAATAGTTGCATTGTCATGTTGATTTGTTAAGCCCTCTATCAGTTTTCTGCAAAAGTTATTTTTCCCTCAGTGCTTTTGTTTTACTATGTTTAGAAATTCTTTCACACCCATCAAAGTGCAGGCTCAATTAATATGCAATTTTGGTATCCACATTTGGGATTTATCACAAAATGAAAAAAATCCTATGTGTGCAAAGGTGGTGTAAACTACTATGCATTTGTTAATACCTCCAACTGATATATAAATGGCAACTAGGATCTAATTGTCTATCCTAATTCTGTGTTAAGGACATTGCTAAACACTTGGTTGGAATTCATGGAGTGCTTGTTTCTCTGTCCTAGCGGCCATCACAAAATGAGCCTTGGGGAACAAAATAAATAAATCTATATGTATTGTTCATGATTTCAAATCAAGTAGTGTACAGTGGATAATGTCACATAGTGTATTAAATGAACACTACAGTATTTGAAATGTAAATCTGTATTCCTAATACTATAGTGTCCCTCTGCCCCAGCAGCAGGACAGGAATGGCACTGCTGATACAGAGCATGGGTGTGCTCCCTAATAGTGATACATTCATACACTATGCACATTCTGTGGTGTTCTTTAAAACGTTTATACTCTTAAATCTGGATGCCCTTGTTGCTCATCAATGAACGATAAATACTGTATGTAGGGATTTGTCAATAGATTGATGCATTGAGAAAATTTACTTTGTGTTAGTAGAGGAAGTAATATTGGCCAAGTACTCCAAAAATGAATTTACCACTATTTATTGACAGAACGTCTGCCACAGCTGAGTAAGAAGAATATTATATGCTGGCATAAAAGCTTTAGGGGTCAAACTGTGATTTACACATGCAAATAATTTGGCCCTTAATGTATGTAAATGTAGATCCAACATAATGCAGGTGCCTACTGGAATGAGGTGATAGATAATCCACACGGAGCTAGCTTTATTGAAAATGTACAGCACAGTGGCTAAACTAGGCACAACAAATCAACAGAGAACATGAATTACAATCATCTGGTTTTGTAGTGTCAATGCCTTCAAAACGCTCCCCCTGATAGTATTTTGAAAATTTTACCATTTGTTTGATTAATGGTAGTAGTGAGTTGTGGAAAAGGTAATGGGGTGGGGAGAGTCCAAAGTAGACAGCAGCAGACTTTGGCTACTGAGACATGACCCCAGGAAAAAGCTGGTGGTCACACTCTTAAAAGAGGACATTCACTCAGAACAGCAGCAGCAGACTTTGGAGGCGAGTCCAGGGAGAAGACTGCAGTCACAACAACTAAAGAAGGTTCACTCAGAATAGTAGCAACAGACTTTGGGCCTGAGCTCAGGGAAGCGGTGGCAGTTGCACTATCCCCGAAAGGAGTAAATGCCCTCAGAACAGCAACAGCAGACTTTGGATGTTAGCCCAGGCAAGAGGTGGCGGTCACAACAACTCCTAAAGGAAGTTATTCTCTCCAACGACAGCAGCAAACTTTGTAAAATGTAAAGCCCAGGAAAAAGGTTGCAGTCACACCCCTAAAGGGTGTTTATTTAGAATAGCAGAAACAGACTTTAGACCAGAGCCCAGGGAAGAGATGGCAGTCACAACAACCCGTATAGTGGGATATTCACTCTGAGCAGCAGCAGGAGACTTTGAACGAAGTTAGATTAAGACTAAGAAAAAAAATGAAAGCTGTTGCCTACTCTAAATCAATATGCAATAAAACTTGATGAATAGGGATTTGAGATAGTATGCAATTAACTCTTCTTTAGTTTTTATTGTATGTATTGGGGCAGATGTGTACTATAGTCATTGCTGCCACCCAGGGGTAGTGAGAGTTTGGAGCAGGGCTTAATATTGTATGTTTGTATTTGCTTTTGTATTAAACTGACATGTTACAATGCTGCTGCCTACCCCAAGTGTTCCATTTAAAGGTTAATAAGTGTGTAGAGGTTTAGAAAAATACCCCTCTCTGTCTTAGAGATTTTTTTACTTGGAGCTGTAAGAAGCAAGGTGAATTGTAGGACTGCTCTAAGAGGTTTGCCTTGATGTGGCAGGTGGGCTTACACTTAAATGGCCTATGGAGTGATACTAAAACCCTCCAGTTATTTAAATGTGCATAAGGATTTAGTTCAAGACAAACTCTTTTCTTTGGTTTTTAAAACTTGGTCAATAGCCAATCTTCTGCAGGTTGAATTTTACAAATGTAATTTTTTCAACTAAATCTGGTGAAAGCTGTGAACGTTAGGGTTCAAGGATGGTGCAAAAGTAACTGAGAAGATTCTCTCAATCTGAACACTTGTGGGAGGGCATGACAGAATCTGTTGCGCAACCGACCTTAGGCCTCACCACACCAATC